ATTGTTATGCAGTCTCAAGGTGTCAGTGACTCCTTAAATGCATCTTCTTCTTGGCCTTTCCCTGCCTCTTGATGTTTTGATTTTTAGGTTGAACACTCTTGCTGCTGGCATCATTGGTTTTATTTTCATTAGATGGCCCAACTATTTCATTCTTTGTTTCTCAATAAATTTGACGATGGGTGTTGTTCCAATAGCTCTCGCGATCATGTCGTTTCTCAATCTCTTCTGGTCTTATTCACAGCCATTCTCAAACATCTCATCTCACAGGTGGTTAGTTTTCGTTTTTATGTCAATACCCAAGTCCAAGGCTGAATAGTCTATAGCAATATGAGCCTAGTGTTATATGCCAAGGAAGTCGCCGTGGCGTAGCGGCTCGACACTCGCCTGTGGATCTGAAGGTCGTGGGTTCCCTCCCTGGCAGAGCCGGACTTTTTTCAAAAATGACCTTGAGTCCCAGGTCGACCCAGCCTTGAGTGGGTACCGGGTGCAGTCCTGGGAAGTAAAGGTGGCCGGCATGATGCTGACCACATCCCCCATCTTGTACGGATTGGTCTATAAAAATATAGGTCTAGCCCTATATGCCTAAAGGCATGAAAAAGGGACCTTTACTTTTTTACCATTATATGCCAGCTGCTCCAGTGGCACACAAAAAGGGTCCTTTACTCGTCTTAGATGAAATCGTTAAATAAACAGCTAATAACACTTGGTGTGTGTGTGTGTGTGTGTGTGTGGTTAGTTAATACAGTAACTGAAAGAAAACATGCTGCTTATAAAAAACACTTCTTTGTGTGGGTTCTGAGGCCCTATTATTGTAAAAATGTCTTCTTCTTTGCGTTCACCAGCTGTAAACTCCGGCAGAATGTTCTGGTTGTTTGTCCACTTCTGGACCGTAGTCCTGAGTGTTGTGTATGCATTCATTTTACAGATCTGACTAATGAGAATGCAAACTGTTGGTTCCTTGCACTACACTTTCAAAGGAAGCTAAATTAGTCGTCTCTTTTGAAATGCATTGGGGTAGGCAGTTGGTCTATTCTTGTTTTTACTACAATAGAGCCCTGGAACTCACACAGAGAATAGAGGAAAAAAAGATTAGATCCACTGCCTCTCTAACATGTATGTAATAAGAGTAGACTAATTATAGATTTCCTTTGCAATTGTAGTGTACCTGCCTGAAAGGCAAAGAACCAACAGCATACAACTAAGCCAGATCTGAAAATATTTGATGTGCACACAAAAACTTAGGTTCTGGAGCAAGACTAAAAATCCTGAAGTGGATGAACAATCAAAACTTTCAGTGGGTTTTACAGCCGCTGAACGCAAAGACGAAGAAGAAGATCAAGGCACTCTGGACCGATCTATAGGTGCTCTCATTTCCTCCTCAGTAGCTCCTCAAGCATAAAATGACTGATCATGCCCATTCCTGGGAAAAAAAGATGACCGGCCTTATGCTGACCACATCAACCCCCCCCCCCCTCCCCCAAGTGATGATTGGTCTGTAAAATATAGGTCTAGTTCTATAAGCCCAATATGCCTGAAGGCCTAGAAAAGGTAACTTTGCTTTTAACTATATACCTAATGTGCCACTGGCTTGAAAAGTATCTTTTACCTAAAGCTGCTTTTAAATCAGCTTGACTTGGTCAGAAACATTTAAGGCACACTGTGTAGCAACTGTTTATAACTGAAAGAGGCAACTCATGCAGAATTATCTGACCCGGTCATAATGAGTTAGGTGATTACTGACAAACCAAGTGTAACGCCGATATATACAAGGCACAATAAATCTATCAAGTTAATTTTCATTTATTAATTGGAATTCATTTACATAATTACACATGACATTATTTAAAATTAATAAATATATTAAAAGGGGCGCAAAAACATAACAGCAGAGATTAGATGCCTTAATAGAGCTATGGAAGTGACAAAAAAAGGTAACATTAAAAATGAAGCAATTATATGAAGATTAGGATGAGAGACAGATGAGCTGGTTTGGTCAAATAATAAGAAAAACCTGGTTAAAACTGCCACATAGAGCCATGCTGAAATAATATGAATAAGGAACAAAGAAAGAACAGACAAGTAATGGAACAGCAGCATCAAAAACTACCTATAAAAATAGATGGGCTTGCGTGCCTAATTCTTAACACTTTGAAAATAAAGTTTGTTTGTTCGTTCATTCATTCATACATCATATTTTAAAAAGCGCACAGCAAATCCTTAATTACCCCCCCCCCCCCCCCCCCCCCCACCACCTCAACCCCCAACACTTCGATGAGGTAAGTGGTAAAAATGGTCCCTCACTGATTGTAGTAACATTCCTTGAATGGGTTTGCCAGGCCCCACTGTGAGGGGTGAGGGGGAAGGGTATGAATAGATCCTCTGCCCCTGTAACAAGCATATTGTAGGAGTTGACGAAATAGGGGAACAAGACAAGGATCCAGAAGTGGATGAACAACCAGAACTTTCCGCCAGGGTTTATAGTCAATGAACACAAAGAAGAAGAAGACTGTAACATGTTTCATGCAACTGTGAGACAGGAGTTGAAATAATAAATGAGAAAGAATAGATTATCATTACAGAAAAATTAGACAGACTGAGTTAAGAAATGTATACCTTGTATGTTAATGTTTATTTGACTGATCAACATCATGGCACACGGGTGTAACCCATAAGTGCTCTACTTCTAACTCTAGCCTGAGTCTGAAGAATCTCAGGGCAGTGCAAAAACTCTGTTGCACCGGCAAGGATCCTGTAATTCTTTGGGTAGATTTGTAACTCCAAATTTTGCCCAGGCAGCGCTGTTAGGCTGCTCTTTTCAATTTCCAACTGCCAAGGGATTTTCTTTACGTGTGCAAGAATACACACAGGCGTCCGATCTTCCTACCCAGAGATCAGGGAAAATTACTAAAGTCCAAGTGGAAAAATCCCAGCCTTCACTGGGACTTGAACCAGCACTCGAGGCAGACATCATACCTCGAGACCACTCAGCACCCCTGTAAACCATACTGGAGGAAAAGGTCGAGGGTAAGAGAGCAGGAGGTGGGAAAAGATACAAGTGGGAGGACAACATCAAGAGATGGATGGGCAGCAGTCTGAGAGAGTGTACAACCAGGACAAGAGACAAAGCTTGTTGGAGATCCATTGCAGTCAACCTTCAATGGGGAGATGGCACCTGATTGATTGATTGATTGATTAATTGATATGAAATTTGGCTGAATGGGCAGGCCATAAAAAAGCAAACCACAAGTCTATTGTATCTGACTGACAGAGGTGAAGGGGACAGATCTGACTGTCAACAGCAACTGGTGACATAACGACATATTATGTTATTGGACTATGATGATTATGAATTTCAGGACTTATATTCGTCAAGCTATTAAATGTTTCAAAACATATTCATTTTAAAAATAGCATGTTTTTGATTGTCCCCAACAATGGGATTTCTGACATTTGCAAACCATGATTTACATTAATTCAGCTTTTAAATTCTGGAAACCATCAAGATTAGCACAAGATAGGGCAACACAGAGAGCCCTGTCATTTTGACACAATAGAAGCAAAGATGAGGTTGACAGCGCAAGAAATGAATAGATGGAATACGGGGCCATGAATAGCATCATTTACATAGCCAGGGCTTTTTTATGTGTGTCTGTGGAAATAAGGTACCAGTACTCACCACAAATGGTCTGCACAAAAGTGTTGGTACTCACGACAAAGTGTCTATTACAGAAGAACTGAAAAAAGGATGGCTAAAAAAAAATAACGGTACTATGTCCCGCTAGGTACCACCAGAAAAAAACAGTCTGTACATAGCCTATATCAAATGGGACACGATGCTGCTTCAAACCCTGACAATGAAAGGCAAAAAAGGGTCTAGAAAAAAGAAGAAGTCATGCCTTTGTTCATTAAGCTATTAAATGCATAAATACATTAACTTTATTAGCAAACAACATATGTGACTGTTTACCATCATCCTCAGTAACTGGATTTCTGATATTTAATATCATCATTTACATTCATAAAGCTATTAAATGTTTAAAAACATTCACTTTATAAACTTGTTTGATTATCCCCAAAAATGGGACTTCTGGCATTTAGAAGCCAGGATTTACATTAATTCAGCTACTAATTGCTTGAAAGCGTTCACTTTGCAATGAAATATATTTGTCTAATTATCCTTGTCAGCAACAATTATATTTCTGACACATAAAATCATTATTTACATCAATTAAGTTACTAAATGCTTGAAAGCATTTATTCTGTAATCAAACATATTTGTCTAATTATCTTCAACAGCAATAACAATTGTATTTCTGACACATAATATAATTTACATTACTACCTTAAATACATATTTACTTTTAATTTATAATTAACATAAATGACTTATTATTTGTTACCATCATACATATTTCTGACATTTAATATCATGACCTTTGTTAATTAGGATTTTAATACTTTGGACATATTTGTTTGCCAAAATCACTGATGTGCTAAATCCATGTGTTGAGAAAATCACATTAGAACACTGAGTGACAAATGAAAAATGTGCAGCTTCATGAAAAGTAAATTCTTCATTCTGACCTATCTGAAGTAAGAATTTACATGTTAACTCTTTTAGTACCAGATGTTTTGTCAACAAGACTATTTGACCACAAATGCCTAAGTGGGGGAAAACTGTGAGAGCTAAAACAGGGTTAAACACAGAGAATGTGGTCACATGGGTAGCCAGATTTTTTTGTCATGTTAAAACCAAATTTAAATTGTAAGGGAACACATTTATCACAGGCTGCGTCTCACTATAAGCATCTCATCATACAAAATGTGTTGTTCGAGACTGTCAAAGAGTTAACTGTCAAATAGCAGTCCTAAAAAAATGCAATTAGGTGAACAACAGCACAAATTGCACTAACATGACTTTGGCATGTTACCGAAAGTAGACATCTCAAGTTAATAATCAACTTATTTGACTGATTATCAAAAGCTGTAGCAGGCAAACTTTAAAGTCTTTGCCGCAGCACACACTTGAAATCTTTGAGCCTGTGAATTATACGCATGTGAGTCTCCATTGCTGATGCTTTCTTATCACCCACAGACTCAACAGTAAAGTGACGAAGGATGGTTACGATGTACAAAAAAAGCTGCATCTCTGCAATTTTATCTCCTACACAGCGACGAGCACCTGACAGTAGAAAAAAGAATTATTTGTATGGTTAATATCTTATAGCTGTTATCATAATGTAAGTGAATGCAATTTGCTAGTTATTCGACACATGTCTGTCAGTGTCAAGTGGTCCTTTTTGCATGCAAGAATTGCTCCAAAAGTGTTGATTTTGTAATGCTATTCACACAACTTCTGCCAACGCCAATGACTGCATGTATTTACCAAATTTGTGGTGTAGGCAGTGGGATCTGAGGGGCATGAGGATATAGGATCGCATTGCCAGTGATGTCACCACAGACTGTGCATGTTTGGATTTTACTCTTTTCCCTGACAGAAACAATTCACAATCTTGCCAATTATTTAAACTTGGGTTCCTGCATGAGAGCCCAGCATTCCTAACCATTCGGTCAACTGCTCCTCCTACATTACTTCATTATATTATTCTTCCTTCTGAATTTTGGGAGAGTCAGGATTTATGATCAAGACTTTTTGTGTGTGGAGTTCCAAGAAAATGATTTTTGCTTCTGTTATACAACTAATCCATCACTTCCAGATGTACATCCATTTTCATACTGTGTAAATACATGCTGTTTTGCAAATGTTGTTACAAAGTAAATTTTCCTGCATCTCCCTTTCACCTGCTATAAATGCCATAAATGCTGTAGTAGTAGAAGTAGAAGAAGAAGAATATAAATTTTTTTCTTTCGTGTGTTTTTTAAAATTTATATTAATTATATTAATTTCTTCAGTATGAAAACATGCCATTGTCAGCTATCATGGCAGACCTTAAAAAATAAGAGTTGCCCGCATGTTCATGAGTCTATATATCGTGTGTTAAATTGTTTCAAACTGTGTTTATCAATTTTTTTAAATTTTTGTTTCAAAATATATAAAGGTAGGTAGGTAGGTAGCTAGGTGGGTGGGTGTGTGTGTGTGTGTGTGGGGGGGGGGGGGGTTTGTGTGCGTGTGTGAAGAATTAAATGGATTGCATTTCCTAGGGCCTAAAAAAGGTGTGTATTGGTTGACCTCTGTCATGTCCCTGTGACCTCCAAGGCTTATGGGAACATTTTAAGTCAACTTGGCTTGAAAAAAAAAAGCTATTAGATTTACAAGGAAACCCCTTTCAATGCTCTGTTTAGTGAATTTATTCCAGCTGGACACCTTAACACTACACAGATACAATAGAGCCAATGGCATTTAACTAAAGCTTTTTGAGAACAGGTCACTGTAGAAATGGTGGCAGATCTTAGAAACTAAGAGGAATCCACAGATCTTAACTAACTGTAGCTAATGTTTGTTGTACTTACCAACACCGAATGGTCGGTAACATTTCGGAGCTATAAAGTGACCATCACCATCAATGTGGCGCTGGGGTCTATATTCATCTGCATCGAGGTAAAACTTGGGGTCATAGTGTAAGCTGATGATGCTGGCCAGGACAAAAGTGCCTTTTGGTATGGCATATCCTTCAATCTGTTCATAGAGAATATAATTACTGTAGTTAGGCTTGTGAAAAGTGAAGTTGAAGTTATGAAATGGCTTGATATTTTACTTATGTTCTGCATGTGAATTCTAAGGCCAGATTTTGTCTGAAAATGAAACAAAAGACTCACTTCCCCCTCCCCCCCCCCCCCCCCCCCCCCCCCCCCCCCCCCCCCCCCCCCCCCCCCCCAACTCTCCCCAACAAGAATGTCATAAAAGGCCACCAAGGGGTTATATATTCGCATCCGGACAACTTGAACACTATGCATGCACACATAGAACCAATGGCATTTAATTACGCTTTTTGAGAATAGGTCACTAAAAAAATGGTGATATACTGGCATTTAATAGGAATGTGTCACAACCAGAAGTGACCAGTTTTAGCTTTCTCTGGCCAACAAGGTTAAATCCCTTTTTTTTTTTAAAATTATATTAATTTAATTATGTGCTATCTCCACAGTCAAGGAAGGCTGCAGTGCATCCAACCCCTAACCTCTTCCACAGTGAGACTCCCCCCCCCCCCCCCCCCCCCCCCCCCCCCCCCCCCCCCACTGTTCACAAGCCACAAGAACAATCATTTCAATTTTTAACAATAAACCCCATCCGCCCTGGAAATCAAACCATAGTTTATTGAAGATCGTGAAATTTTGAAATGCATTCACTAACCTCAAACTGAAATGTTCTCATTATTGTGTGCTTTACAGAAAAGCATAGGCAGTCATGTTTCATCATCTCTCACAGTGACCAGAGTCATGAATTTCATCAATGCTCTTGTCTTATGCCATCCATACGGCGAAGACATCCAGGTATTTTATCTCTTTGCATTCCACTTGCTATTTTTCCCATCAATCTTGCCAGTTGCAACCAAGTTCTTGAGTCCATTATGTCATAAATAAGGTCCCTTTTTTTTCATGCCCACGGATGTTTTAGGTATATAGTTCTAGACAATCTCCATTGCTATCAATGTCAAACATGGACACTGTCTTCAGAAGACAGAAAGAAAATAGGACATGAATGAAATATTTATGTACTATGCTAGGTGTAATGAAGAAAGATCAACTTAGGAACAATGATAGAGTCAGCACAGAACCAATAATGACAACAAATCAAATGGTTGGGCCATGTGATGAGATTGGCTTCAGACGGGCCAACACAGAGGGCAATGTTATACAGATAAAACGGTAACAGAGCCAGAGGTCGACCATGCAGAAGTTGGACTGCAGAAATATCAGAGACACTGAAAGGTACTTGAACCAGGATGGCTAACCCGGTCAATAAATGCCTGCAGAAGTCGGGTGTGTTGGCTAAAAGGTGCAAATATTGCAGCCATGCTGAAACGGACACAACACAATTACATCTTCGGATGAATGCAGAAGAAAAAGAAAAAGATACTTTATACTAAGTGAACAGAATGTCCTTTCCAGAGATCACTTCCTACCCTGACACCACAAGACATTCCAGGAGTAGAGAACAGAAGAAGAAGAAGAAGAAGAAGAAGTTCTAGACATATATTTTATAACATGTCTTTAAAAAAAAATCACTTTCTATCTACTTAATCATTCAGTCGATCTCTAAATAACTGTCATTAATCTATGGACCCTAGTTTACCTGCTCTAAACCAACACATTATGAATATGAACTGCTAAGATTACAACCTCCCAACATTCAATCAGCTACAGTAATTGCTAATTCTGTAAATAAATTTAATGTTAATTCTTACCTCAGTATCTTCTTTGGCAACATGAGGCAGTGTTGATGGTGTGACAACCCCCAGTCTTAAACCTTCAGCAATACAGGCTTGGATATACGGCATCTGATCTTTCATAGATAAGGTTATCCTTCCTCCGTTAGCCTCAGTGACTTTGTCTATTTCGCTCTGTGCCCACTGCTGCATTGTAGGGTTCTTTGACAGATACATTAGGACGAACTCTAATGCAGACAGTGTGCTGGTGACTCCCCCAAAGAATAAATCAATCAGAGACTGTAAGAGTTCTTCATCTGTGGAGGCAACAGCATGAGAAATTAGGTAACCCCAGTTTCTTGACTTTAGGCTGACACTCAACACACAGAGGTAAGGCAAATCCATTGGCGAGGCATGCCTTAACGGCTGTGATTGCCACTTACACTTTCCATTAACCAATAGAGGAAATAACCCCTCTGTTCCCAACAATAATGACCTAAAGAGTGTCAAATTTAGGGATGTTTTTTCCAAAGTCAGAGTGCATCTGCCTGAGAGGTGAGGAACCGATAGTCAACAAAGAAGTCAGATCCATAAAAGGGATGTCCATGCAAAACTCAACTTGTCGAACAATATCAAGATCAAAGTGCAGAAGTGAACTAAAACTAGAATTGTTTGCTGGAGTTTACTGCTAATGAATGCTGAGAACAACAAGACTTACTTACTACTTACTTGTAGTTGATTCAACTTTTTCTTCAGCATTCACACTTAAAAAGGAGGGGGGGGGGGGGCGTGTGCATAATGAGTTATGGTTTACAGCTAGGGTTGATATCTAAACCTTTCAAACCAACACATTCAGTTCAAGCAAAACCTCAATGGGAGCACTTATGGGTTGCCACTCTTGTCCCATGATGTTGATCCATTGTATAAACCATAAAACAATAAACCATTTTTAAAAAAAAATATCAATGATACAACATCTTTGTTACGAAGAAGAGGGTAAAATCTTTTTTTCCTGCAAAACTGAGGCTGCAGAATCCAAATGAAGAATATATACCATTCTTACTTGCTCAATTTTTGTTTATAATTTATTTACAGCATCATGTTTGGCATCTCTGGCCTCCTTCACCAGTGGTCACCGCAAGGTTTGTATTTGACATCCTCACTTTGTCAATTCATTTGCCACCAGTTTCAGTATTTTGTGATTCTGTATCTGCTCTGTCTCAGAATGTGCCCAATATATTGCCTTCTTGTTTTCTCTTATTTACATATGTGCATAGGGAACTGCCTGCACTCACCTCATTTACTGCATACTTATTTGTAATTCCAGAAAGAAGTGTTCTTTGGCTTCTAAAATGAGTTAAAAATTGGTTGTGTTCCTGAATAAGCCGAATGAATGTTGTTCTATGCTTACTATGCTAGGTGTAATGAGGAAATGTCGACTTAGGAATGATGATATCAGAAGGAGAGTCAGCACAGAGTCAAATGTGAACTGTATAGGTAGACAACAAATCAAATGTTTTTGATGTGTAAAAAGATTGGCATCAGAAAGGGCACCACAGAAAGCAATGTTATACAGTTGCAGTGGTAACAGAGCCTGAGGTCGACCACACAGAATATGGACCACAGAAATAGCAGAGACACTAAAAAATACCAAAGTGGAAGTGAACAAAAGGGCCCATTCCAGAGATCTCTTCCTGCCCTGATGCTGCGATGAATTCCAGGAGTAGAGAAAAGTGAAGAAGACGAAGAATGATGTTCAATTTAACGACCGATAAACACTCAGTGACACAAAGTGCCACCATTCTGATAAGAATCCTCCAGGGTGCAGGTCCTGGATCCCCCGTTCAACTGTTAGGTTATATTACGGCCACCAGTGACAGCTGAGGTGGGCTTTAAATTGATACAAATATTGCGTCCCACATTGCAGCCAAGTTGGTGGACACTAATAAGCTTAAATGGATTCAAAATTCAAATCTTTATCATAACTGAGAAAAAAGCTTTATGAAATATGAAACAGTAAACATAAACAGTAACATGTCTAAATAACTTATTACTGATATGATCTGTTGAACTTTATTTTCTTTTTAAAGCTGCAACATAATAAATAAATAAATAACCTTTAAACTGAAAAATTTTCAGCTTAGTTTTAGAAGTCACATATGATCATCGCTTACCATTTTCTTCAGTAACTGATGCAAATTCTGGCTGTTTAAGAATTCTCTGTAGAATTGATTCCTGGCGTTCATTTAAGGACATCTGCTTGGTGAAGGTCCACTGATATTCTGTCAGAGGAGTTTGTGGGTAAGCTACTTCAGGTTGTTCAGCTTCTTCATAAGGTACTTCGCTATTGGTCGTTTCTCCAAAACCAAACACAGCAAGTTGTGTTGCCCAACGCATGGACTCTTCAATAACAGAATCATTCTTTGGTGGTGACAGCAGCGATTCTTGAGAGGCAAACTGTGGATGCTTCAAGATTGCTGTCTTCTGTTTGTGGGTTAGGATCAGCGCTGTTTGAGTCTGGTGTGTAGGGGCACTGGCTTCTGTTTGGAATGATTAATTTCAAGTCTTTGCCATCTGCAGATGTTGCATGTGGACATGCAGACAGCACTGTGAATGTTCCACTTCTAGCTTGGCGTATCCACTGACGAAGAAGTCTCTGCAGGTGCCGTGATGTTCCATGCACATCCACAATTTCTTTGAAGAAGAGTTTGGAAAGTGGCTGTCGAAGTCTGCAGAATTTATGAGATAAATATGTTTAGAGTGGATGATGATCTACAGCTTCATACCTTACCTCACATCATCTTCCTCTAATTTCTGGGGTCCCATTTTCTTGAGAGAAAAAAATGGACCACTGCCTCTTAACAATCATGTCGTAAGAGTCGACTAATTAGGGATGTTTTCTTCGAGGCTAAAGTATGTCTGCTTGAGAGGTAAGGAAACCAACAGTCTGCACACAAATAAGCCAGATCTGTAAAATGGATGTGCACACAGAACAGGTTCTGGAATAAGACTAGAGTCTAAACTAGGTGGATGACAACCAGAAACTTCCGCCGGAGTTTACAGTCAGTGAATACAAAGAAGAAGAAGAGGATGATGATACCTTGCATCAGTGGTTCTGCTAATAAAACAGTAAAGTAGGAAAATAATATTATACCAATAAGCCATATTGGGGATTTGAAGTTAGGCTTATATTTTCCATAACTAACTAGCACTTGTTGGGTTATATAATGGTCAGTACTATAACTGCCATCTTTACTTTGCCAACAAAATCTCTAGTACTCATATTATGAAGTTGAATCGAACTCAAAAGCTGTTTTTTGGAGGGAAAGAATTTAATCTGGCCATCACAAGAGATCATGCAAAACTGTCTAGGATCCTCTACTGCTACCATTAAAACAGAATTTGTAGGTCAGCTTACACAGAAATTCAGTGCTTCCATCATATCCCTATCACCTTTGATTGGACTGTGTGATAACTTGCTTTTTTAAAATTTTTAATACATCTACTTCTTCTGTTCTTTATTCCCCATAGGCTCTCACCAGTTCACAAGGCATCCAATCCTTTATCATGTCATGCGGCCCACCCCACATCCTCCTATTTTATTCACATCTTTCTCTACCCCTCCCTGGCCCACCCCCTCCCCTGTTTGAGGTATCTATTTTGTTTGTCCTTTGGTTTCCAGCGCAAGATCATTCTAGTGTATTACAATATTTTCTCATTTTGTGCCCTATTAAGCACCAGAGTCTCATCCTCCTTGCCTCTGGAATCAAATATGTGTGTGTGCATGTGTATTGAGTGCTTTGTATGTGCATGTGAGTGTTAGTAAACTATGTATTGCATAGTAAGTGGAAACACTGAGTGGAACTTACTTGGGATGTTTCAATGAAACTTGTGTGAGAATAGAGGATAGATCAGCTCCCTCCAGATTTCTGGCAATCTTTCCAATCTCCTTTCTTTCCGCAGAGTCCTCCGGCAAAGAGCCACCTAGCAGAAGTCCCACAATCGCGTTTGCACAGGCTTTTAACATGACGTCTCCGATTTTCATTGGCTTGTCACACTGCAGACGTAGACTTTGCATTGCAATCTGTAGCTCTGACTGGATGGCGCCTTCCATATTGTCCTGAAATGTTTTTGTATGAAGTGCTTTCATAAAAGCGTGTTTGTTTTTCTTCCAGCTTTCGCCACTACCAAAAAGAAGACCTATATTCAGGGAGGGGGGAAAAAACAAAAATTACTTTAAAAGTTACATCATACAAGATTGCTGTATACTTTTAGGGTTAGGAGGAAAGGGGAGAGGGGGAGGAGGGTTGAGTTACCAAGTATATAGTTAGTCGACGTTACAGTGAGTTCCAAGAGCATTAGAAGGAAGTAAATACCTGTGGGGTTTCCATGACCTCATTTTAGAAGGGGGAAGGAATACCCCCCCCCCCCCCCCAATTTCCTTTTCCCCAACAAGCATATCCTAAAAGTGTGCTGATTAGGCGTGCATCTTTCTGACAGGTGAGAAGCTAAGAGTCTACATATAAATAAACCAGATCTGTAAAACGGGTGAGCATGCAAACTCAAGTTCTGGAACAAGACTAAAGCCAAGACTTCAACAAACAACCAGAACTTTCTCGGGGAGTTGACAGCAGTGGACGCGAAGACGACGATGAAGCTTCTAGAAGTTTCCTACAGTTTCTCACTGGTCTGCTATTCAAAAGTTTGACACCGCAGTGAGTGGCCTTATCATTTAGATTTCGGATGTAAAGCCAAGATGATTAAAAAGAAGTATGTCAGTGTCGCAACACCGCTCATTTTCAACGTCGTGCCCTTGGCAAGGGCGGAAGAAAGAGAGGGGGGGAGATGGGTTGGGGAGTAGTGGGGGTGATAACCAAGAACAGTAAAATATGTGAAATAAAAGAACGTAACCACTGCAAATCATTTTCAAACTATTGGCCCCTATGACTTACTGTCCTAGATTTATATAGGTCCAGACCAGTTGGACACTCGGTAAGAGATGATTTTTACAGCTAGGAGCAACCTGGGGATCTGGTCGACGACGCATTACACTCAGAAGGAAGGCAAGAAGAACAGACGATCAAGCTGACCCCACAGGAACTGGAACTTTTAGCTGGCTGCTGAAGATGGGGTCAGAGCGCTTATGGGAATGTCCCGAGTTCTGTGATAACTGTTCTTAACTCACCTCAACCCAAATCTAAGTGATTTGGGACATCACTCATACCACCTTTACTTCTCAGTATATTTCCTAATAACCTTTATAGACTTGGTCAGTTACAAAATTCTACCACGATACGATTTCAAACCCAGACCATCGGGACAGCAAGCAACCGTGCTACTGTACCTCCATACTTTGGAACAGAAGGAGTTAAAACCGAGTGGGTTTCAAATGAAAATATGAAACGTGTAAAAGTAATTAAAATACCCACGCCACTGTCTTGTAACAGTTCAAATATGGCCACCCCGATTTTTGGTATGCTCCAAAAAAGAGCAGCGTTCTACTACAGAGCAATTATGAAACCTGTAGAATTTCATCGTCATATGTCGTCACCGTATTCGTCTGTATCATGTTAAGTGCTCAGTACTCTTGACATCCTTAACAATACTGACAGGTTACAAGACATGGCGAGTGTGACTAGCAAAGCCTGCCCACGTTAAAAATCATGTTTTCCACAATTAGAGCATCGGATGTTATGACCGTTGTTGACTTTATTTAATGTGTTTCTCAGACGCTCAGCGGTGCACACATCGGCAACCGGGTTGCCTATTGGCTCGCCGGTCGGGACAGTATTTGGGTCTGTCTCCTTTGATCACATCAGCACTACAGGAGTCCTTTTCAGGACTCTTATGAGCGTGCAATGCTAAACCATTTATGTGGCGCACATATCCTAGTCACAATTATAACCTAAAGCTACCCTTTCGGAGATTTTGGTTAAGGTGACGATTTTTTTAGCACAGCCCTGCTCAGCGGTGCATAGAGATGAGTCGGAAACTGTCCTAGTTATGTGAGCTAGGATTGAACCCTGTCTAAGAACATCTATGCTGTCTTCGAGGTCAAGATAGGAGACATTATAACCAAACTTCTCAAAGGAAGCGTCAGTAGAGATACTTGGGAAGGGGGTGGGAGCTACTGCATTGGAGGACTATGCATTCGTGGGAAAGCCCAGTGGACAGTGGTGTTGATCGTGATAAAATAACATGTAAAATATCACCAACTACGGCCTCACAGTTGTTGCCTGCTGGCAAGTTAAAAGATTGAAACATGTTCTAAACAGACTTTAGAGAACTAAATTCTTTCAGTTAGTCCTCATGTTATATTATCTAAATGTTTACTGTTTCCAGTAAATTGTTGGGTCTAATGGTGGTAAAATAACAATCGTTAGAGCAAAGTAATTAAAGTTCGTGAAGAATTACCACACACACACGCACACACACACACACACAGTAAATAACAACTAATACATTAAATTGAAGTTCACTTGTACACAAAGGTGCCGGGTTCGATCCCAGCTGCGGGCCATACGCCTTGCGTTGATTTCGATAGTAGTATTAAGGAGCCGACCATCCAGAGGCAACGGCAAACTACTGGACGTAAATTCGCCTAGAGAAACCACACAACAGCCAGGGGCTGCTGGGGTTGGTTCTGTAACGTCCTGTAAAGGATACGCAACTAACTTTGTACACAAAGGGTTAGGATAAAGCCACCCCCACTGGCACCGCATTGCAATACTTGCTTCCTTGTTTCCCGGGGGGGGGGGGCGTCACGTTCATCTGTCACCCATGAAAGGGGAGGGGCGGTTTTTTTTTTAATATCCTACCCCAAATCGGGAAATCCACAGGTCACGGGACAGTCTAATATTTCAGGAGGGTGTGGTAGATAGGCTGCATGCAGTCGTGGGACCTAGGCTGCACGCAGTCGTGGGACCTAGGCTGCACTCTCTCTTGGGACATAGGTAGGTTGGGGTTAGGGCCAGTTCCTGGTGTTTTAGGGGTCTTTAAAAGCATCAGAAAGCCGGGAAACCCAGTCTTACCACCCTCTAAAATGTTGGACTGTCCTGTGACGTCATCTGGGGGGTAGGATATTAATAAAGTACCGGGGGTGGGGGCTTTTGGTTATTATTGTGAGTTGTTTATTTGTGCCATATAACATGGTCTAACATTGCTTGTCACCAAACAGCACTGGAAAAAGACTCTTACGGGGCTGATGCGATTAAAGAAGACTGACCTAAATACTGTCCGCACCGACGACGAAGTCCTCTACCGGTCAGCCAATAGGTACCGATACCGCATTTGGATCAGAAGCGTAACGTTTAAACAGAGCTGGCTCAACTTCGAGGAGCCGCAGTAACGTAATGGCTAGATGCTAGCCGGTCTTGGGTTCGAACCCACATCGTCTGATTTTTATCTTTTCAAAACTGATCTTGGCTCCCAGGTCCACTCAGCATAAAATGGGTATCAGGTAAAGACTTGGGAAGTAAAGGTGATTGGCGTGATATTGACCACAACATTTACTGAGCGCCGATTGGTCTATAAAATTATGCGTCTGGCGTCATATACCTGGTGCGAAACTGGCGTGAAAAATAATCCTTAAATTTTTATTTTATTTTAATGCCACTGGCACAAAAAAAAATACGATTTACCGTGAATTTACTCACCTTCGGCAATTGCTCCAGGTCCCATAGGGCGATCAAGAAACCGCTCCCCGTTTCTTCCTTCTAGATACTTCTCAACCAGATCCAAGGTGTTTAGGTAAACCAGGTTTTTGCTACCCATCTTCACACGGTATATGGGACCGAACTGCTTTGTCCATCCCAAATTTGTCCTGGGACCCTTCCATTCGAACAGGGATCCTATACAGGGTAGACCACTGGGTCCAGGAGGAGGAGGGGTGGCAGCGGCAGCGCGGTCGCTGCTGCCGTCTGATGAATGGTCCATGCTATTTTTCTGCAAAAGACGATAATACAAATTAGGATTGGGCTATGCAGCACTTTCAAAAAGCAGGTTTTTGAAATAATTCTCTTCTTCTTCTTCTCCTTCTTCTTCTTCTTCTTCTTCTTCTTCTTCTTCTTCTTCTTCTTCTTCTTCTTCTTCTTCTTCTCCTTCTTCTTCTTCTTCTTCTTCTTCTTCTTCTTCTTCTTCTTCTTCTTCTTCTTCTTCTTCTTCTTCTTCTTCTTCTTCTTCTTCTTCTTCTTCTTCTTCTTCTTCTCCCTCTTCTTTTTCTTCGCCTTCAAAAGTTTGGTTGACACACTGTTTTGTAATGTACAACCAGGCAAGTGATATGTGCGCATTTCGGCCTATCCGATATCCATCTCTGTCCTCTCTCACTCATTAAACGGTGGTTAATATAGCCTCCACCCCCCCCCCCCCCCCCCCCACCACCACCACCACCACCACAAATCCATAAATCCGGCCGTAGGTCGGTTAAAAAATTCTTAGGAGTAAAATACTTCTTTGTTTTACGATTGCTAAATGAGGTATATGTGATAATGTATTACCTAATAACTTACATCACTAGAATACATTCAGGGAGGAAATTCTGATACATATCTGCATCTTTATCATCATTATGTGCCCTGTCGACTGGCGTTGGTGTTCATGAATCATTATAGATCACGGTCTCTTGACTTCTGGATCATTTCCACCGATGATATTCCTCTGTGCGACTGTCGCAATCCATCAGTTATGTTCTCTCTCGGTCTGCCTCTCCCTCTCCTACCGCTGATCTTACCGGTGATGGTTAATCACATTTTTACTATACTGCACTAGACAACAGCAATGAAACGCATTAGTTATCACACCGAGATTCGAACGTGCCGAGGTAACGATTAGTTGATGTCTCTTATTCCTAAAGGAAGACGCAGTCGTCATTTGAAGGCTGTGGGTTCAAATACCAGTTTGGTCTATAAGCTTTTAATAGTAATTTTTTTTTCTAGTGTAATCTAGTTTATATGTTTCCTCAACTTCTTTAAGTGTCGACCAATACCCATAACATCTTTTTTTTCCCCGGTAACTCTTTCAGTACTGTGGAATTAACAGTATGTTCTTTGTTCACTCTTTAAATGATATATATTTCTATATTATTTTTCTTCCATTCTGCTGTAATGTTAACACAATGTTAACACAATGTTAACACAATGTTTACTTTAGCTGCCTCTGTGATAAAACTGTAATTTTCAACACCGTATGATTAAAACACTGTTGCTCTAAGGTACATTAATCACAACACCACCACAATGGTGTGTATAATCACTTCATTATTATTGTCATTTTCGGCTCGGTGGCTAAGTCGATGCGAACGCTTCGTAATGCCGGGATGCCGGGTTCGATCCCAGATGCGGGCCATGCGCCTTGCGTTAGTTTTGACATATATATTAAGAAAGTCGACCGTTCAGAGGCAATGACAAACTGTTGGACGTAAATTTGCCTACAAAAACCACAGAAAAGACAGAGGCTATGGGTGTTGGTTCTGCAACGTCCTGTAAATGATACGCAACTAACCTTATTATTGTCATTGTTATTATTATTATTATTATTATTATTATTATAAGAGCATTTGAAAGAGAAAAATATATTGAACTAAAAGCGTTAATTAACGTGTTATACAAATCCTGTCTACTTGCTGTACTGTAGAAAACGTAAGATCTGAGAGCCGGCGTTTAGAATATACTCACTAAAAATTAAATAAACACTCCTGCATCTTACATGGCAAGGGCACATAAAGCACTTGAGCATAGTTTCCCGGTCTATCAACGAATCATCGCTACAATATACTTAACAAAACACGTATGTGCGTTTCTGTTGCCAGAATGCACGTGTTATACATCCAGACCTGGCGCAGATGTTTTCTGTCCGGGGAAGATTTTACGGCAGCGGGCAGATAACAAAGGTCTGGTGTAGGGGCGCTGACACAAATGAAGTATGATTTTGGTGGCGGGGCGAGGGGTGGTGAGAATGTGTTATTCGGGCTTTAGAGAATTGCTATGGGGAGCTAAGACCTGTTTACTTAACCAAGAAGGAGAATAATAATATATAATTACTATTATTATTATTATCATTATTACTGCCTGCTGTATAACTAATAAATAAAATACGTATAAAATAAAACTATAGTATTTACAGATACTTTAAAAAAACATATACATGGTTAAGGGAAAATTGGGGGATGGAGGGGGGGGGGGCTTGGTGGTGGGCACAGCCCACTAGCGAATTCTCTATGAGGTTGGGGGGGGGGGGACCTCAGCGTGCCTTAGCTCAGCCCCTGATTTCAGGTGCCTCTGTCATGCGTTCCCTGTTAGTTCAATGTCAAAAGTTCATAAGACATTATCGACATAAAAAAGATGAAGGGGGGAGGGGCAGAGTTCTCTACGCTGGTCTGGGTAGCGAATGGTAAGGAAAATGGGAGAGTGTTTCTTTGAGAAAATACATTAAGTTTATGCTGTATCTGTGATCCAGAGTCGACCTAAACAATAATGTAAGCCTCGGACCAAGCTACACGATGGTTCTGTCCATTGACTCACAAAAAATCCCAATGAAAATTACCGTTATAATCATCATCATAATTTTCATTATCCCCGTTATTATCACCCTCATGATGTATTTCAGTCAGCCTTGGGCTGCTCTTAAATATTACTGAGAATTTTACTGGATAATTATTCAACAGCTACAACCGGTGATGTTAATGTATACTTACACTGCTAGATCAGTGCACGCCTGTTTTATACAAGTTTCTTTTTAGTTGTTGATAGTCTTTTTCGCCCCTTTCAGTCCGAAGCAGCTTCTAATCAACCCTCTCTGTCCCAAAGTACTAACTAACCTTACATGTGACTACTACTTTTATCTGAAGGAACTGGTCAAAGACACAATTGGATAGAAGTGGTTAAACTAATATTGCAGATACGGTGGGTATATGCATAACACATGTCTCAGATAAAAAAAAAAACAGTAGAAATACCATATTATGTTTGCAATGAATAAAAAACTTATTATATTCAAGTGTTAGTCGTCCCCACGTGGGGTGTAATTTTTCGTTATCTAAAGCCCTACTGGCTTTTGCCGAGGGCCCTGAATATAACCGCGCCACAAATATGGCCTAATGGGTGGAAAGGGGTTTCTGGGATCTCTCTACGGGTGATCCTCATCCCCATGGTGGCACTTAGTGTCACTAACTGTTTATTGCTTGTGTGATGTCCTGGTGGGGCACAACAAGAGAGAGAGAGAGAGAGAGAGAGAGAGAGAGAGAGAGAGAGAGAGAGAGAGAGAGAGAGAGAGAGAGAGAGAGAGAGACATACTGTGAGGTATTCGATACTGAAAAAGTAAAAGTTCTTCGTTGTTACTGTTGAAGTTGTTTGTATCTCATTATCTAAACAAGCAAAGCCAGTTTTCGCCTTCTTATTTAGAAACAAGAAAAGTCCTGAAAACCAATGTTCGCAAGAAAACCATGGAAACCAATGTTCGCAAATAAATTGATTACATCCAAACTTTTAAAGAAAGATTTACAAACAACTAATCAAAAAGAGACAGTCTACAAACTGTGATCATGTTATGAGCAGATATAACTGGTGTACATCGTGACAGTAGGAAAGCTGGAGGGAACGAGAGGCAGAGAGAGAGACCGAGTGAAAAGATGGACAGTTTGACATCATGGCATAGAGGAACATCTGTTTCAGAGCTGATTGAAAGTACACGAGACAGAGGGTTGTGGATAGACATGACTACCAACACCACACGGCATGGACTTTAAGAAGAAGAATGTCGTAAAAATGGACCTGGAGAGTGTTGTAATGCCGACAATGTGCCAGGAATAGAAACAGCCAAAGCTTTACTTCCGGCATTCAGCATTACAAGCTTTCCCCCCCCCCCCCCCCCTCCCAGCGATACAGCAGTTAGTACAGGTGCCTATTGTTAAAAATCAAAACAAGACAGTGATAATTGCGCCGTTGTTATACATAGTATAGTGCTCCTGGAGAGACTAGCAGTAGAGACGAAAAACTTGAACCAAAAATTTAGTTATTTTAAAATAATAAACATTCAAAATGATACAATAGATAACACCAGAAATCGTACACAATTCACAGTAAATCGGACATGTAAACAATTAGCTTATCTGTACTTTCTAAACAGCCTTATACCCACGATAAATCGTGACTGAGTTTTAAAAAAAAAAAGACAATCTGGAGAGATTCAAAGGAAGCAGATGCACAGCAGTAATTCAATCTCCTGGGAAGCTGTCATGCAAACTGACTAGGCATTTTAACAATGATCACTTAGAAATGGCTTTCCACTGCATCATTTTCTTTGCCCTTTCATATTGCTCATTTAACTTTTTTTTTTTTTTAGCAATTGTTCCTGAACTTGTTAGGTTCAAATCTGCTGCAGTGTGACATTTAGGATAGTGAGACACGTTTCACAGTCACTGACATTCTAGGGTTCTATTTTCTCTGAGGGCGGTGAGGAAATGACCATTCTCGTGTTGGGACAGTGCTTGTTTCTAGTGTTAAGCAACGGTACGCGGTACCGGCACGTTTGTTTTAAGCATTTTGTTTTCAACTTTTTTCTTTTTCTTTTCTCTACTCCTAGAATGTCTAGTGGCTTCACGGCAGGAGGAGATCTCTTAAACGGACCCTTCTGTTCGCTTCCTATAAAGAACTTTTAAGTGTTTCTGCTATTTATGTGCTCCACATTCTGCGTGGTCGACCTGAGGACCTGTTACCGCTGTGGGCCCCTGTCTGATGCCAATCTTGTTACATGGTCAAACCATTTGATTTGTTGTCTACCTATAAACTTTAGTATTGGTTCTATGCCGACTCCGCTCCTGATATCATCGTTCCTAAATCAATATTTCCTCGTTACACCTAGCATAGATGGTAAACATTTCATTTCTGTCCTGACTACATTCCTTCTGCCTTCTGAAGACAATGTCAATTTTTGACATTGAT